GTTTAAAGAGCCTTTGGTGATTCTTGATTTCAGTTCTTAGACCTGGTGTGAATGACATCACTCACAATTCTTCAGAGACGGACTTTTATAATGGGAACACCATTTACAAGTGTGTTAAGACTTACTCAGGAATATGTAGAGAAAAATCTTTGTAATATTCCTAACTTAAAAACATGTTTTTCAATTTGTCTTGAAACTTTTTGACTTCTTCCACTTGTCTGCAGAGTTTTCTACTTTATGTCTGCAAATCTCTGTCTGTTTTGTTTAGATATTCTACGGCCTACACAGGAGACATCAGACGGCCCCCGAGACTTCCGGCAATCTGCTTGCAGGTATTTTACAGTATTGACGAGTGAAGAAAATGTGAAAAACAGATAAAGTGGTAAAAGGCAGGATACACACACACACACACACACACACACACACCGCAGAGAAACAAAACAGTGCACAATGGACAACAGACTGGAGACGGCGTCTCTCTAAGAACAGCACTCCCAGAGAGACGAGGCAGTATGAGAGCAGCCCGGCACATCTGCTGTGTAGGTGGCTGAATGACGTCCCATGATGCAGCTTGCCTACCCCCTGACCTTCATGTGGAGTGTTGCTCAAAGTGGCTCTTTCACAGTTCTACTTCCTAGATAAACTTCAGCAAAAACACACACACACACACACACATTCACAGCAGCTGGCTGCAGTGTAGAGGGAGTACAGATATGGAAATGGATGTGTGGTTGTGGTAAAAGTTCCCGTGTCCTTCCACTGTGCTTTAATTATACATGTAGCATGTGGGTGTCTGATTGAAATGAATATTTTACTGCTTTTAATCACTGCCATTGCCAGAGTGATGGAGCATCTGGCCGTGTTACCTGGGTAATTAAAAATGCCGCCTCACACACGGCAGCCTCTGAGGTTGTGTCTGTGGCATGAGACAGGAGCACTCGGGAGGGTTACTAATGAATCCGAATTAGATTTAAATGCTTTTAAAGCAATGCGGACATTAAAAAAAAAAAAAAAATGCCCTCTTTATTCCTTTTCTTGTCTTCAATTTTAATTAGTAAAAACACTGACTAAACAAATGGAAACCTTGTCATAGGTCACCTGACTTTTTAAATGCTACAGTAAAGAGAATGGTCTTCTGTTTCCAAATGTTGCCGTTGCCATGCCAACACCTCGTCTATACATCTATATTTCAGATACTTTCTGTTGCCACCTACTGTTAAGGAGTGTAAATAGGCTGATTGTTTTTCTCATGATTTTTTGCCTTGGCAAAGGCCTGTGACCCACTGAAAACTAGTCTGTGACCCACTTTTGGGAGCAACCCACATGTTTAGAAATTAAGGTCTACTGCAACGGTGTCAAACTCATTTTTACCAGGGGGCCACATCAGCAATACAGTTCCTCATGAAGGGCTGGTCGTAAATGGAATACTGTATAGAACACGGCTCCCCAAACCCCTGGTCTGTGGACCAGTAGCAGCCATGCTACTGCAATTGATTATCATTTATTCAAGCTACAAATATTGTTCATTGCTGTGTGATAAAAAAATGAATTTCTCCTGTTAAGAAACTCTGCTGCATGGACTTTACGAAATGCTTTTTAAGCTCCCGCAGGCCACACGACTTGCTGGGCCACATTTGGCCCCCGGGCCTTGAGTTTGACACATGTGGTCTAGTGTAATCAGATACTGACTTTTGAATGAACCCTCTGGAAGTACCTTGAAATACCTGATAAGTTCCAGTTGATTAAACTGTGATGACATTTTTTAAAAAAAGACTTAAAATAACGATAATATGACTAGAATTCTCTGTAAGAAATTTAGAATAAGGTAAGACTAATCTATGTTTAAAAACAGAAAATGTTCATATATCCATGTCACTGCAGAATGGCATGGGGTCATGGAGGGCATGTAGGTGTTCTCCTGCAACACAACACTGGTCTCCCTCTAATGGCTGCTGCTGTCCTCCCTGATGGCCTTATCTTCCCAATCTGTGCTTGTGAGTGTGTGTTAAGGATGAACTGGCCGAGGCTTTTAAAGTCTGGCTGATGCTATTGGAGATTAGGATGTGAACACAGTTCTCCATCTGACTGCATCTATCCCAGCTCCATGTACAACATTGATAAAAACATCATCAGATGCAAACCTTTTTTCTCTCCTCTCCTGTTACATCTGCTTGTCTGTCAAGTCTGATTTGAACTGAACTTTTATAAAGAGAGTTCATGATGTAATGAGGGGAAGGATGATTGTACAAGCAGAGGGGAAACTGAAGGATGTAGAAATGAGGTGAGCTGAGATCCACGTTAGGTGCTCTGACATCAGTGGCTTTCAGGTGTCTGAGTGAAAACATCATGTTACAAATCAGTAGCAGAGTTTTCAGAGAGTGAACAAGTTGGTCTCTGAACAGGAAACCACTTTACTGCTCTCCTTTTCCCCTTCTCTCTACTTCAACTGGTGCCATGGGTGGACTGTATGTGTCCATGTGCTTTAGACTGCTACAGTGTGATCTTTTCATTTTTATAGAGTCATGTCTTCCCCACAGCAACTATATGGCAGTATATAATACATGAAGCTTTTGTTTGTCTGGACCAGCAATTACTGATATTACAGTATGTGACAGACACTAGGGGTAGATACCACTGTGACCTGACTGGGCAGGAAGGTAGTACATGTGCAACATATTACAACTAGGCCTGGTTACAAGTGTGTTCAGAACCGTGTTAGATGCCCAGTCCAAAATATACAGTCTGATAGTTTCAGACCATGTAGAAAAAACCCAATAACATAAAAAAAAACTAAAAAAATCTCTTCTATTTAATCTATTTACGATCAAAATTTGCATGCAGGTGTATACTCTCATTCTTTATTAGCAGTAATCCTTTAAAATAGGAGTGTCAAACATACGGCCTGCGGACCAAAACCAGCCCGCTTGATAAAATAAAAAAAATCACAAACACTTCATGTTCAGGAAATGGTTGGTAAAATTGATATTTTATTAAATATGAATATTTATCTAATGTACTTTTTTTAACAAAGGAGAAAAAACAGACTTTTTGTTATTTATATGCAATTATGTACTAGTCCGACCAGCTTGACATCTAATTAGGTTGTATGCGGCCCCTTAACAAAAATGAGTTTGACACCACTGATTTAAGATCATAAAGTATGTACAAATAAAAGATAGATATTTAATTTTTAAAAAATCTATTAAGTTGACCTGAACGGATCATGACCTGTAGGAGGCGTTACCCTAGCTCTCCTAAAGATAGGGACATAATTTATATTAGAAGAAATGAAATGCTTTGTTATATCTGAAGCATCTTCCAAATAACATGCAGACATGTTTCAGTATTTCCCACCAGAGGACCCTCAGCTAAATCTCTTATTTATTACACCAACACCAATTACAGTTAGTTTTCTGTCAGAGAGACAGAATAAATGGCCTCCTGAACAGATTAAAGCGTCTAGCACCCTCCTAATTGGCAAACTAAATGATTCAGATTAACACTGATAAAAATGGTTTGGGCAGGTCATCTGACTCAATATACCAATAGGGTTCACTGTCAGAGATAATGATATGAAGAATGTTGCTGCTCTTTATAAAGACTACTCCATAATTGTGCAGTGATTATGATGAGTAAATAATGACTAAGGTGTAAACAGACCCCCATTGGAGGAGAGCAAAGGAAATGTCAGTCAGGAGCAAGAAAACAAACGCACACATTCAAAACCTCATTATGGAAATGATTCAAAAGACGGCATGGAGTAGTTACAGTACATAGTAGTTACTAGACAAGCTGGTTCAATGACCTTCAATGAACAAAAAAGTACATTTAATTTAGAATGTTCTTTATTATTAAGGTAAATATTTGAATGGTATCATGTGCCACAGGTTTGTCTTTACCTTTAAACTGTAATGAGCCGTGACCCTGGGCTTGGCTAATCTAATCTAAAGAACATTCACTCCCAGTTTACACAATAGTGATGTCCAAGTGATAAGGCTTTACTATGATTACTTCAATTTAATAATAGCCACTAAAACTGACCAATGACACTCACATTTATATCTAAAGCCAACATTTCTTTTTTTAATGAAGAAATGTGCTCAGAAACCCCCTCCCCATTAACAGGGAACTACATAAAAAAGACCATCGTACTATACCATATAGATATAGTTCAGATAGATAGAATGAACCAATGACCTTAGAGATGTGAACCAAGAGCAGTAACCACCTCTCCACTGTGTTGGTATGATCTTTCCTATGTTAAGGTTTTGTTTTTGTTTTTTTTCCCCCCAAACTGCTGGTCAAAAACCTTTCTTGTGTATCAAATCACTTGTAAAGTCGGCCACGACCCATTTATATAAAAATCTAAACCAGCTTTTTGTCCAGGTAAAGTCCTTTACAACAGGCCTAAAAATATACAATATAAAAATACAATATATAAAATAATATAATCTAATACATTAAACACAACAGAAAGGGCCCAACAACTAAGACAAACAGGGATGAATCTATGCAGTCAGGGAGGAGTTAACAAGACACAGGTGGGAATGATGAGGTCATCAGTGTGGAGGCAAACTGTGGAGGTAGGGACAGGTGGACAATGTGGTGTGGAACTAGATCAACTAGGAGAAAAACAAATGGTGACAAACAAGGCAAGGAAAAGGTGAATACACCTCGGAGGAACAGAGGAAAAGAAAAACTGACCAGAGTGTGTCTTACAGTGGGACAGGACGCAGGTAGGACAGAGTCATGTCACACTGTAACTGTTGATTCTTTACACTGCCTTGGACCAAGATGGCCAGTACAGTGTATTCTGACCTTGGGGTTGTGACCTTGTGTGGAGTTGCCTGATATGTCTAGTAAGTGATAAAAATACAAAAATAAAAATGACATGACAAACTGTAGCTGGAACTGAAGCACTTTAATACTTTAGATCTTCACTGTGACAGGTGGAAGATGCTGCAGGAACTCAGACAGTGGTCAGTCAGTTGTGCAGTTTGGTGCTCTTTTCAGTTGTGTTAGTGTTGACATTTCCAGGTAGAGTGTTCTCCAGTCAATGGTTTCTCAAAATAGACGTAGACGTCTTATTTGGCTGCTGTCTGAACAGTCTGTACTTTTGGTCTTCTCAAGTGTTCTTAAGACTCCTGTAGGATCCTGTGAAGGTAGATGGACTGAGGATTACTAGTTGGAAGAATTGGTGGTTGCAGGTTAAAAACCCTCTAACACTACAGAAGGTTGTTGGGTCTCAGGTCAGAGGAGTCTTTCCTGCACAGTCACATCAACAGCTCTGAATGAATCACTGTTGTTGTTGAACAGAGACTGGTTAAGGTCA